AGCAAATTTATCACTTACCCCACGCATCCCCTCTGCCCACATAGCACCGCTCCGCTCTGATTACATACACCTTTGCGCTGACCTGTGCTCCTACCCCACCGGTGGGGGATTTAGACGCGCCGACAACGAAAAGGACCAACAACAACAACAACAACAACCCCAACCCTTAACAGCATTCCCCCCCCCTAAAAATAAATAAATATATATATATGAATAGGGAAATTCTGTTGGAGGTGGTGCCGATGCTGAGCAAGAACTCGGTGTCGAAGAAGGACATGAGCAAGTCCAAGAACACGCCCGGGGTGAGACTCGCCGGCAAGCTGTCGGGGGTGGCCCAGCAGGCTAGCTTCCGAGACCTGTGCGGGCAGGGTGGGGTGCAGATCGGGAACACCAAGGTGTTCTTCCGACAGGTGAGCGTGCTAGCTTCTTGTAGCTGTAGCTACGATAGGGCACGTGGTTTAGGTAGGCAGGACACGTACGCATCCTTTTTTCGAGCTGCGTTGGTTCTGGGATGTGAACGCAGGTATGCATAGGATACTACGGCAGCGTTTCTGTCACTAGGGTAAGGTAGGTAGAATACATACGCATCCTTGAAAGCAAGGCCTTGCAGGTGCTGTGGATGACACGTGTATACACCAGGAACCCTTTATGAAGGGGTATCTCCACATGACCCTGTAATTTATATGTACGGACGAATTTTGTCTCTGACATTTTGGCGGTTTTTTTTTTCGTCTTCTTTCTTCTTCCCTTCCTTGTCTTGCGGCGCAGATGGCGTTCAACCGCGCGGAGAAGGCGAGAACTTCGAGGCTCTCGGAAGCGTGCGTGGCGATACAGACGGCCTTCCGGCGACACATGATCGAGCAAGACTACAAGGCAAGACACGTACAGATTGGCACATTTTTTGTTGTTGGTCGAGCAAGACTACAGAGTAAGACTGCTGTATAGATTATGCAGGTTTTTCAGTTTTTTTTTTTACTCTGGGTTCGTTGAGATCTGCTGGGCTCTTCGGGTCAAAACACGTCAGTTGTGTGAGCTATTCGAGCTTGGGAAGCGTCACCGATGGCAGCTGGCAGCTGGTTCACACCGACCAATAACATGTTTTTCTTTCATCTTGGCATCACGCCTTGATGACACGACTATTTCGATGCTCTCATGAGCCCACTCCGGAGGCGCGCCTTGTAGACTACCGGTGCAGATTCCTAGGAAAGACGAAAAGACGAAAGGCACTCTCCTGGTACTGGTAGGTGTGTGTGCGGACCCCTCTCTCGCCACTGACTCTCATCCAGTCTATTGCAATTTTAGCCAATGCTGGGTTGTGTCTAATCGACTCCCACTCACTCTCTTTCTCTCGCCCCCCCCCCCCCCCCCCCAATTTTAAAAATG